CAAAGAGTGTTGAGATCTAAATGATCCAAATGATTGTGGGTAGTCTCTGACCTGCTGACCTTGAATTGCCAGGCAGCTGCCTCTTCCCCAACAGGATCTGGTTGATAGGCCTAAGGGGCCTATCCTGAGACTTCCCCAGAGGATTATACCCAGGGTCCTCCAGTCCTGGAATTTGGTTGCTAAGGAGAACCACTCTTTAGTAACAAGGCTTTCTAGCTCAAGGAGATGCTTCCCTCAGCTCCCATTTAATTAAAACCTAGTTCCTGCTTGCTAGGGCACATCTAGTCCCTAGCAACAGGGACCTGAAGCAAGAAAAACACACTGGTCTTGATTGGGCTTCTAGGCCCATCCCTAGTGATGGTTTCTCACACAAGGTCCTGGCAAAGCCTTGTGAGAGATGCATACGCACCTCTTGCTAGCAGAGAACCCATCAGTGGCAAAGCAGTGCTAGAAAGAGGCAGTCCAAATAACGGAAAATCATAAGGTGGCCCTGGTTACTAAGGGCACCTCAGGCCTCTCACCGATGAGAACACCAGTCCCAGGGAGTAAGAACTGCAAAGGCTGGCAGCATCTATGTCCTAGACAGATGCAATTGCTGTGAAGGATGCCCCTAATTGGATCAAAGATTCAGCCCCTGCCTGGCTAGCTGCTCAGGAGAGACAGGTTGATATGCTAAGGAAGGCTGTTCTTGGCAAATGGGCCTCCTGGAACTTGAACCATGCCCCATTGAGGGCTCTGGGTCCAAGTGACCAGGGAACCTCCAAGTCCACACAAATCAGAACAAGTTCAGCTGTCTTGTATGACTTTGTACCCCATAATGATGCTGTCTTCATAAGTCTCAAGCCCAAATGCCTTCCCCATTATGCTCTCTGGTCAAAGGGAACTCATCTTTGCAGCCTGGACAGCCCAAGAGCACATTCCAGTGAGAAGCTCAGGCCAGCTTGGACAGGACCATCCCTGGCTGTGGGCCTGTCCCAAGTCAAGCTGTATCCCACATCTGGTAGTGCTCACCTTCTGCTCTTCTGGCACCTGAATTTTCCTTGCCTTCTTCATGATTGGCTGGGGCTTAAGTTCCTCCTCTGAGAAACGGTGTCTCCGGGGGTCAAAGGTCTCATGGCCTGGAATGCTTGACAGGGCAAGATCAGCAGGGTCTGGTTCAAAGGTCATCAGCACCTCCACCGTGTCTGGGTCCACAGGACTGGGTGTGTCCCGAGAGGTCAGCCCTTGGGGGAAAAAGCATGTCACTTGAACGTGTATTTCTTTTGGGGAGTGGATTCTCAGAAGTTATCCCCTGCATATTCCCTGCTCAGGTATCTTGCCCATCACAGGGAAGGCGCTTTTGCATCTTTCACAAAGTTTGCCTACCAGGCATCATGTCCATGTTAATATAAAATTTAGAGCTTCCCGAGGTCACAAAGATGCTCAGACATCATGGAATCAACTCTGATTTTACAAACAGGGAAAGTGAGTCCCAGTCATAAATGACCCTAAATAACACGAGTCAGGTAATGATGGCTAAAAGCTTGGGACTTCAAGTTCCGCATTTCCTTCCTAAAGTCCAGCCTGAATCCTACTTACTGAATCCCTGACCAAAGCTTAGACTCCAGGCTGTTCAGAAAAAAAGGACCTCAAGTTAGCTTCCGCAGGATTAGGTATGAGAACGGGAAGCGACTCTGAGGTTCCAGAAGGTTGGTTCGAGAAGGAGGAGCCTGCGCCTTTAAGCGCGAGCAAGCAGGGGCCAACTGAGGACACAGGTTCAGGGCCGAGTCACGTGCTGCCGCCTGCTTCTCTCTTGCTCCCCACCCCAACCCCCGCCACCAGCGCCCTCACGTTCCCGGGCCCCGCCCCCTCGCGCGTGACAGCGCCTGCGCGAAAACTAGGAGCAGGGAGGGAAGTCTCACGTGGCGAGGGAATGTGCCGCTGGGAACTGGAGTACCCAGGTTGTGCTTGGAGGTCGGACCAGGGGCACAAGTACCTGGGAATCCCAGACCTGTACTCTCCGCCTGGGGACCTCAGTGTGCTCGAAGGGGTTCACCTCTCCTTTTTGTTTTTTCGGAAGGCGCCAGATCCCCCTGATCTGGGGATCATCGGACAACCCGCCCGGTCCCCAGGCTCCCGAGCCCCTTGCCACTGGAGTGGCCATGAGTCTGAGACCAGGCTCCTCTCTCCCAGGAATATATGGAGCTCCACAGGGGGACCAGTATCCCCGACCTATACCCTCTCTGCAGGACCCTGAAGTCCCGGGCTGCAGCATCCCCAATGGGGGGACCCAGGAGAGTAGAGTCTCTATGTGCAGGGGAACAGAAATTTGTGCCCAGGTCTCGCCTTCTCGCATTTTAGCGGTCTAGGAGTTCCTATTCTAGACCAAGAATCTGGAGTCACTCTACATTTCCCCAATAAATAACTTCTGGGCTTCTGGTCCCGGTGCCACGGAGTATCCGGACCCTTTGTCACCAAGTCCCACAGAAAAATCCACAAAAATCGTTGGAAAGGCTTCCTGGAACTTGGGGTCCTAAGTCCTTCCTTCCCTACGGATCCATGACACACAGTTCCTGTCCCATTAAAAGGCATAGAATCTGAGCCCTTCTCCACAAGAGAACACAGTATTCGGGACCACAGCCTCAGCTCAGAGCGCCGCACGGCCCCGCCCCCTGGGGGCCCGAGCCCCGCCCCTTTAGCCGCACCTGCGCGGTGGCCGCCGGCGGCCCCCAAGGCAGCCCGGGCGGGGGCGTGCCCAGGCGAAGAGCGAGGGGAGGCCGAGCCGCAGGACCCCGGCCCCGGAGAGGGTGCGGGCGTGCGCGCGGGCGACGGCGCCGGCGACGGGCCACCCGGGGGCGGCGGGCTGGGCGGGAGCCCGTGCTCCAGCAGGAAGGCGTCCAGGTCCACGTACTCCACGTCCCCAAAAGGCAGCGTGCGCTCCCACAGCAGCGGCGCCAACAGACCCGGGCCAGGCACCGCCGCCGCCTGCCGCCCTCGCGGGGACCCGCCGCCCCCTGCCGACCCAGCTGGGGCATCTACCGGGCCCGCAGTCTCCAGGCCGGGCCCCGGGACGGTAGTTGCGGGCGGAGCCGCCTTGCGCTCCTTTTCCTTCAGGAGACCTGCGGGTCAGGGAAACACGGAGCGGGATAGAGGTGGGTGGAGAAAGAGGTGGGAAGGGACCCCCAAGTCAGAAAGAGGGAGTTTATGGGAGACCCACACGGCAGAGATCCAGAGACAAGAGTTGAAGGAAAGATACAGGAGAAAGAGGGCAAAGACCCAGAGAGAGGAGAGGACAGAGATACAAAGGAGGAGAGAGAACAAAAGGGAAAGAACGGGGGTAGGTAGGGACCCAGAAAGATACACAGAGGCCCGAGAAAGGATAGAGAAACAGAAAGACAGCGATTCAGCAAAGAGGGACGGAAGTTCAGAAAGAGGGGGGCCAGGTCCAGGGTAGGTGGAGGGTTGGGCAGGTGAGAGAAAAAAATGACAGCTTTGTAATTCCTCTGTAATTCCCCCATCCTCTGCGCAGTGTACCCCTTTCTCCCTTCCCCCACAATCCATAAGGGGCAGGAAGGGGGCTCTATTCCTCAGGCACATTCCTCATCCCTACATTCCATGTGACCCCATGAGGCCCCGCCCAAGCCCGTGTCACCACCGTGTGAGCATCCAACACACACCCCCTTCTCTCTGGACCCCTTGGGTCCAGACACCCTGGCCAAATGAGGGAGTCTGAGGACCTAGATTCCTGGGTCCTCCGATGGACAGATTGAAAGCTTGCACTTTTGAGTCCTGGACAATGAGGATCTAGAGGCTTGAACATCTGAGTAATTGAGTAGAGAGTGGGAAATATGGACACCCAGCACATAGAAGGTGTCTACTATAAGCCATCCCCCCTCCCCCAGCACTTAGTCCCTAAGGGACTGGGGGCTAGAACTCACAGCTGGCCGGCTCTTTGGGCTTGCTGGTCCCCTGCAGAAGGCTCCGAAGCCCAAGCAGCGCGCCCCCGCCAGGGGGCACCCCCGCCGGGCCGCCCAGCAGCAGGGGGGCCGGGGTCCTGTCGCTCAGAGGCCGCGCCATCTCCGGGCACCTGCCCCCAGGTTCATGGGCTCATGGAGAGGCGAAGGGCTGGCCTGCCTCCGGCACACTCCTGTGGTTCGGGCGAGTGTCTGCCCAAGGTTGGGCGAGCGTAGCTTGCAAGCCTCCAGTATCCAGAACGCTGCAAATCCTAGGAGCGAAGGGGAATTACGGTCCTTGGTGCAGAAACGTGCAACTCAAGAGGGTCCCGGGAGATCATACAGTCTGGGTGAGCCGGTGACCAAATCAGGCGACCAGCTCTTTGCAATTGAGGATACCAGGGACACAGGCGCTCCTTCTTACAAGGTGGGCGAGCCTAGCTTTTGCAAAATTTGCAGCTCTCGCAACGGAAAGCGCTTTGCAATCTGCACCAGAGGTGTGCGCCGAGGGGCGGAGGAGGGGGCAGGAGGAGGCGGCCGCCTTGAGGCGTGGCCAAGGCAAACTTCTTTCGTGGAAAAAAAAATCCAAACCAAAACACCCGACGCCACGGCGCGCGCCCCTCCTCCGGGCCCCCGCCCGCACTGGCCCTGCCCTGTCCTGCCCCTCCCGCCTCTTTGGCCATGCACCCCAGCCGCGTGCCTCCCTCTGGCTGTAAGCACCGGCCAATCGTGTCTCGATCCCTTGAGGCGCCCAGCCAATGGAGCCCGTGGATCCTCCAAAGCCCTGGAGGGCGCGTGAGGGGCTGAGCGCGTGAAGTTGCCTTGCCTTTCGGAAGAAGGCGGGACACTGACCTATATTTGCCCAATGAGAGGTGGCGCTAGGGGCGGGACCGTGACCCAGTTCGGGCCAATGAAGCAGGTGGAAGGGGGAAGCACATGGCTCTGCGCGTGCTGCCTGATAGGGGTGGGGGAGGAGAGGTGCCTCTTAAAGGAGCCGTTTGTCCAAATAATTTTTTTGAGAAGCAGAAAACCAAAACAACAAATAATAGAGGCTTAGGCAGAGGCAGATTGGTTTTGGGAGGAAGACCTTAGTTCTTTAATATCCATTATTTCCCTCACCGCGCCTTACAATCAGACCACTGAGAAACAGGAAATATTCTGTCCCTTTAATAGATTTGTTTTGGGGTAACTCGCCTCCCCTCTTAGGGAGGTTTGGGACGGCCGGACGCAATCTTCGATGGGGAGTCTCAGCGACCATGGGGGGCACCATCCACTGCAAGAGAGGACACTGGTTGGGGGTGATGGTTTAGGATGGGCGGTGCAGGGGGCATACAGGGGGCGTTTGCTGGGCTGAGCAGGACTCTACCACAGGAAGGTTGAGAAGGGGGAACCGGAATGTACCAGGTTGAGAAGCTGGGGAAAATGGTCAGATCTGGGACCAAACCATAGAGAGGCATCAGGAAGGTGAAAGCCAGATCGGCATTAGGCTGAACTACGTGAAGGAGGTCTAGGGGTCTGTATTGTACCACGTTGGGAATCCAAAGAAGCGACCACTAGATCACTGGGTTGAACCCTGGGGATACAGCGGGCAGGGAAAAGGATCGTACCACGTTGATTCTCAGTAAGGGGGGAGGCTGTCAGGCTTGAACAGCTTAGGGTAGTACCACACAGAAACAGGAAGGGGATCTGGACCGCACCATTTTGGAAAATCCCAGTAATAGGAGGCACGCACCAATAGGTACTTGTACCACAAGGAAGCCAGAGGGGCCGGGTTATATACCAAGTTGCAAAGCGATGAAGAGGAAAGACAAATCATGGACCAGCAATAGTCTATGGCAGGGAGGTGAACTGTACCACACTGACATATGGGGGGAAGGAGGGAGAGAAGATCTCAGGTTAGACCACACAGAAGCAGCAGATGGGGGTGGGGCTGTATCATATTGAGGAACTATTGGGAGACACAGAGCGGTTTGGACCAAGACGTGAAGTGGGCATAAACTGAATCATACCATGCAGGCGGTAGTTGGGGCCTCTGCAGCGCCTCTCAGGGTGCCGGGGGTCCCTGTTGCCCCTCAAGGCCCTGTGGGCCAAAGGCTGCAGGGGCCGGCCATTACCGCTGAGGCTCTGGAAGATCTGGGATGGAGGATTCTGGCTCAGGAGTCTCAGGGAGTGCATCTGCCAAGGAGGGAGGGTGGGAAAGCTGCAGTGAATGGAGCTGGTGGGCGGGGCCTGTGCTCAGCCAGATCCACCCACAAGGATGAGCTAACCCTCATACTTCCTTGAGTTACCAGCCAAGGAGGAGAGGGAGGGAAAGGGAGGTTGGGGGATACCTAGACAGTAAATGGAGTACTCAGGCCTAGGGGGCAGGGCAGGGTGCAGACAGAGGGTCACCTGTAGGGAGGTAATATTGAGGGCCCGGTCAATGAGGATCCAGGTGACGGTCTCAGAGCAGGGTGGGGTGCTGAGAGATCCCTGGTAGGTGATGAAGCCAAAGGATTCCGGGAACAGGAGCTCCAGGCTCAGGTCTTGAAGAAAGTAGGCATCATCTGTGGGAATATCAGGCCAGAATAAAGAGGGGTACCCCTCTTGAACAGCACCCCCCAGTCTCACATGTGTTGTCCCCCAACACACCAGGGACGTACTCTTGTAGGAGATGCGGGTGATGGTGTCCCGGTTGAGGAGGCGACTGAGGAATGGATTTGAGCTACCCGCCACCTGTGTTGGGATAGAACGTGAGGAGGCAGGAACCCAGAAGCCCAAGCCACCAACTCCCCAAATCCTCCACCCCCAGGACACAGAAGTCTGGGCCTCCAGCTCCCTCTTCCTGGGATTCCAGGTGCCCATCTTGCCTCCACTTACATTGACAAAGAGACTGAGAATGGCCAGGCCATTGGGCCCCCTGGAGGCTGCACTGAGATTCCCATAGAGTTCCTGATTGAAGTGAATTAGCTGCACCTGGGGGGGGGGATACAGAGAGTGGGGGTCCCCCAGTAGAAGGGGAGGAGAGGATGACTCCAGGTCTCTGGCTTTTGGGGTTGGGCTTAGGGTGTGGGGCAGTGTTTGTGGAGGAGGATGGGAGAGGAGAGAGGAATCGAGTTGACTTGGGGTGGAGGGTCACAGGTAAGAGTTCAGGTCAGTGGCCACCACCTCAGCAGAGAAGCCCTGATGGTTGATCTGGTGTTCAGAACCTGCTCCATCTCGAGCTCCAAACAGGAGTCTCAGTTCGCTGAGTCGGTGGCTATAAAGGAGGGGACCCCCAGACACATTGACTACAGGCCGGGGTGCAGGCAGGAAGGAGACATGGCGGCCAGTGTTGTACAGGGTTCCCCGGAGCTGTGGGAGAGGAACAAGCTGTCAGAGGGACATTTCCCACACCTACATTCACTGGGTCCCACAACCTTTTTTTTTGTACCTAGGATTGAACTCAGGGGCACTTAACCACTGAGCCATAAACCAGCACCCCCCTTTTTTTAAATCTTTTATTTAGAGACAGGGTCTCACTGAGTTGCTTAGGACCTCGTTAAGTTGCTGAGGCTGGTTTTGAACTCATGATCCTCCTGTCTCAGTCTCCTGAGCCGCTGGGATTACAGGCGTGCGCCACGGTGTCCAGCTCCAACAACCATTTAATCATTGAATGTAGTGTGAGCACCAACCCATTTCCAGGCTCCATGCTGGCCCAGGATAAGTGCTCAATATTGGTGAATTCATTTAATTAACAAGTATTTATTGAGCTGTGAAGAATAGAGCAATGAGCAACTAGACATGAGAGACAACAATAGTGACTCACATAAGTAAGTAATTAATTGCTACTACTTAATTGCATCCTGTGATCATGCTGGAGGAACTAAGAGCTCAAGAAAGTGTAATGGGAACCCAGTTAGATTGAGGGAGGAGTCAGGAAAGGCTTCTCTGGGGAGATGACATGTGAATGAAAACCTGAAGGATAAGCAGGGTTTCCTTGTGAAAGAGCAGAAAGAAGGGCAGTCCAGGAAGAGAGAAGAGAGAGTGTGGAGGCCCTGAGGTGCCCTGTTTTAATGGAATACAGTGAACAGAGGAGAGTGGTAATGGGAGCAGATTACCAGTACATGGGCATTGCAGGCAATGATGGGGAACTTTCCTTTTTTATTTATATGTTTTGTTTGTTTTGTTTTTTGGTGCTGGGGATCGAACCCAGGGCCTTGTGCATGCAAGGCAAGCACTCTACCAACTGAGCTATATTCTCAGCTCCCTTTTTTTTATTTAAATAAACTGAGTATATTTGGCAGAATGCCAGACATAGTAAGTGCCGTGTAAGTGTTTACTGTTACAACTTAACTTATCCTAATAGGAGCTTGATGGGATCTGCTGGTGTTTTTGAACATCCCTAGTGGTGGAGTGGAGAACGGATTGCAGGAATCAGAGAGGTAGGCAGGTGAAGAGGAGGCGGCACCATCGGGTGGGAGGTTATGTGGCCTGGATGAGAGTGGCGGGGCCAGAAGTGAAGAGATCTGAATATGTACCAGTGAGGCTGGGAAAACTAGATTGGAAATGAAAATGAGGGAGGGGGTGGCATGGGGAAGGTGACTCTGAGTCTTTTGACTGCCACAACTAAGTGAAACATGGTTGTGGCACTTAAAAGAAATGGTAGTGCAAACTGGAGTCCATGCTGGAACCACACTGCCTGATTTGAATACCAGTGCAAGTAACCAAACCTCTCTGTGCCTCAGTCTCTACATCCATAAAATAATGATAATAATAGCACTTATTGCATGGGATTAGAGGGCTTGTCAAGCTTTTAAAACTGCCTGATACAAGCCGGGCACGGTGGTGCACACCTGTAATCCCAGTGGCTTGGGAGGCTGAGACAGGAGGATTGCGAGTTCAAAGCCAGCATCAGTGTCGAGGCTCTAGCAACTCAGTAAGACCCTGTCTCTAAATAAAATACAAAAAAGGGATGGGGATATGGTTCAGTGTTCGAGTGCCCCTGAGTTCAAGCCCCAGTACCAAAAAAAAAAAAAAAAAAACCAACCACCAAAAAAACTGCCTTATACAGGAAACTTTCTGTTTTTCATTGCTTTTGCCAAAATGAGAAGACTAGGAGCCATGTTTGGGAAGGGAAGAACAGGTGACCTGTTTAGAGTGCAAAGAGCCTCTCTCCAGCCAGCAAGTACCCCTTCTTCCCCAATGCTGACAGCCCACCTCAGCAGCCCCTTCCCTGACCTCCACACACATCTGCCCCCAGGGAATCCCATAATTCCTCCCTTCAGGCCCCTTACCTTCTCTCCCCCAGTGCTGAGCCTCAGGGGGGGCAGAAAGGGATCATAAAGGACCCTCTTCAACTCCACATCCACGGGGCTCTGCCGCTTCCCCACGGCACACAAACTCCAGGCTGCGTTCACCAGGCCCCAGAAGGGAGGCCCTGGGGACAAAAGTGGGAACAGGAGGAAATGGAGTTGGAAATATGAGCTGGGACTCATGCTGGGATCTGTTGAGTGGGCCCAGCTCTGGATCCTTGGGTCTGAGGGAGGAGGCTGCGGCCTTGACCCCAGGGTTTGAGGGAGAAGTGTACTGAAATCCAGAATCCTGTGTTCTAGAAGAATATTGGGATAGTTTCCTAACCCCCCACCCCACTCCCAACACCTCCAAGCCTCTCCTTGATCCAACGCATCTTAATGAAGTCATTGTGGAAGGAACTACAATTCCCAGCCGGCCTCAAGGCTGCAACCTACTCATCCACTGCCGGCCTGCCTGCCTCAGAGCCCCATGGGAGTTGTAGTTCTCTCAGTCTCCCTTGTCCCACAGCTGGACAGTGAATGTAGTGGGGAGAGGAGTCGCGCCAGAGGACCAGACGAGTCGGGGAAGCGGCCACCCAGCCTCTCTTTCTCAGCAGGAGCCAGGCCCTGTCTCTCCCAGCGAACACACACGTCCTCTCCACCCCCACACTTTCTTTGCTTCCACTCACTCCCACTCACTACTTGAAATGCGCATGTATAATGTCCCTTGGTGAGCCGCTGGGGTTCAGAGGCTGGGCCTCGCTCCTTAGGGAGGGAGGAGGGGGCAGGGATTCAAGGTTCTGGGGGGAGGAGAGGGCTGGGGACTCAGACTCCTGAGTCTGAAGAAAGAGGGGCCTGGGGGAAGGGGGTGGACTCTTGGGTCCCCCTCCCTGTCTGCACCTGGCACGAAGTTTCCCTGGAGATTATCCTTGTAGCTCCACCAGTCCTCAGGGTCAGGTGCTGGTCCGATGTGCGCTGGGAAGAGAGGAGCCTGAATCCCTCTCCTTGGCACCCCACCCCACCCCTCCCCGAGGGGCTCCTGCCCGGACCCCCAGGTCTTACCTGCCGCCCCCATGGCAGCCCAGAGTACCAGCGCTCGCGGGGCGCTCAGACGAGCTGCACCCCCCATCCCCGGGAGGCCTCGGAGCGACCCCTTCCCGCTGCCCTGCCCCCCCTCAGCTACACCCTCCCCTGTCGGAGATTTGTTCCTCCAGGACTTCAGCCTTCCTCCCCACTGGGAGCCTCGCTCCCCAAATGCCAGGGACTTGCACCCCTGGCCCGCTCCTCTGCTTTCTCAGCGCTCCTCCCGGCCCCCAAACCTCCACTCTCCCTCTACCTCCTGATCCTCCTGTCTGCCTCTGCTGGCCCCCGGGTTCCCTCTTGGTTTCGAATCCACACCCCCTCTCCGTTTCTTTCATCAAGCTCCCCCAAGCCTCCTAACTCCTCGTCTGCATCCTGCTCCTCGCCTCCTCCCTCTCCCTCTCTGCTGCTGCCTCTCGCTTCTCGCCTTCCTCACCTCCTCCCGCTCCCCTCTCGGTCGGTCTCCAGCTTCGCGCTCCCTCCCCGCCTCCTCCTCTCCTGCCTCTTCTCTCTGTTCCTCCGTTTCTCTGCTCTCGGCCCTTCCTCCCTCCTCCTCCTCCTCCTCCCTCCCTTTTCTCTCCGGGTGTTATTTATTTATTTATTTTGTTGGGGAGGGGCGATATCACAGCCCCGGGCTGGGGGGTGCGCAAGGGGCAGGATGGGGGTCGCCGGGGCTAGTGCCAGCTCCTAGCCGCGCGGGCCCCGGGGGCGGGGTGGCCCGGACACCTGGGGCCGGGAGCTGGCCGTTGGGTCCTCTGCAGAAAGGGAGGGAGGCGCTTAAGGTGGAGCCGGGAGTCTCCGCGCTCAGCGCGCGGGCGGCGGAGGAGCGGGGTCCCGCAGATCGCAGGGACCCAGGCCGGACGCCCCTGCGCCCACGTCCCCCGCTCGGCCTCGGTCCTACGCCAGGGGCTGCCTTTACCGCCGGGGATCCCCTGGGATACTCGGTGCGGTGAGGGCCGCTGGCCGGGAGAGGGAGGCAGAGACCTGGCGAGGGACAGAGGCGGGGGAGGTGGAGCCGGGAGGGCAGAGGCGAGAGCTTGAGGTGAAGAGCGGCCAGTGTGGAGGCTGGGGCAGGGAGGGACGTGGCGGAGGGAGAAGCCGGTTAGAGAAGCAAGATGCCAGGCCGGAGGGAGGGAGGGAGAAGGAGAGAGAGACAGGCGAGCGCACACAGAGGACATGACCGAGATAGATACAGGTAGAGATACAGAGACAGGCACGAGAATCAAAGGTAGAAGCAGAAAGACCCAGAGATAGAGAGAGACATACATCGGGTTAGAGAAGGCAGGCAGAAGGGAGGGAGAGAGACAGGTGCAGAGGCAGAGAAAGATGAAACAGACTCAGATACTTCCGGATAGAAGCAGAGAGGGACACCAAACATTAAAAAGAGACACAGCAATCCAGGCCGGGAGAGGAACACACACACATACACACACGGTAGGAGACCTAGAGTCAGACACACACACACTTAGCTATAAATAGAGCTGATCATGCAGAAAAAGAGAGGCACAGAGCGACACCAAGACAGAGATAGAGACCCAGATAGAGGGAGAGAGGCCCAGAGACAGACCAACCAATTTAAAGAGAGTCACTGGGAAGGAACCAGAGACAGAGGTACTCAGACATAGCAAATTGGAAACTAAAGATGGAAAGAGTCACAGAGATGTCATACATGGAGACTGACACAAAGAAAGCATCCAAGAAAGAAAATATGTATTAGTTATCCATTGCTGCATAACAAATGATCCAAACGTGTAGTGACTTAAAATGACAGACACTTATTTTCTCAAATTGAAGGGCTAGACATCAGGGAATGGCTGACAAGGGGCTCTTGTTCTCTCAGGAGGGTTCTGGTAAGCTGTTGGCCATGACTGCAGTCATCTGAGGCCTTTATGACCTGGTCTCCTGGAGTCACATTCCTTTTATTCAATTCACGGGAAATGAGTCACTTAGTCTAGCCATGGTGGAGGGGAAGGAAATGAGGCTCCCCCTCACCCCCTGTGAAGGGAGGAGTATTTGAGAATGTGCAGAGCCAGGCATGGCCCTGTAATCCCAGCTGCTTGGGAAGCTGATGCAGAAGGATTGCAAGTTCAAAGCCAGCCTCAGCAATTGAGCGAGACCCTAAGCAACTTAGCAAGACCCTGTCTCCAAATAAAAAGGGGCTGGGGATGTGGCTCAGTGCTTAAATGCCTCTGGGTTCAATCCCTGGTACAAAAAGAGAATGTGTTGGACTTATTTTAGAATCAACTTCAGGTGGAGAGAACAGCAGACAGACTGAAAGACACTCCTTAGGACTTGGAGTGGGGCACTCAGGAAAATAGAGAGACCGAGGGAGCCAGAGACAGGGAAAGAGGAGAAGCCATGAATACTCAGCAGTAATTGTGATAAAACCTTCCATAGGGAAGCACCCAGTCCACCCCAGCCCAGGTCTCACGTACTTCCTGTGCACGTACCCATGTAATCCTCACAGCCATCCAAGAGGGAAAGCCTGTTACTGTCCCATTTTACAGATGAGCAAACCAAGTCTCAGGACATACAGGGCTACATAGTCAAGAATGTTGGGCCAGGGGCTGGGGATATAGCTCAGTTAGTAGAGTTGCCTGCCTTGCATGCACAAGGCCCTGGGTTCAATCTCCAGCACCACAAAAGAAAAGAAAAGAATATTGGACCAGAGGTGCTGAGCAACTCAGTCAGACCCTGTCTCTAAATAAAAAACACAATAGGGCTGGGGATGTGGTTCAGTGGTCCAGTGCCCCTGAGTTCAATCCCCGGTACTCCCCCGCCCGACGGACATGGGGAAACCGATGGGCAAAGATGGGCAGGAAGGCCCATCTGTGCTGGGCGCTGTGACACCTGCCTATAGTCATGACTTAGGAGGCTGAGGCAGGAGAATGGCAAATTTGAGGCCAGCCTGGGCAACTTAGAGAGAGCCTGTCTCAAAATAAGATTTTAAAAAAGGGCTGGGAATGTAGCTCAGTGGGACAGCACTTCGGGGTTCAATCCCCAGTACTTCAAAAATAAAAAAAAAAAAAAATAGATAAGACCCAGCTGTGATGGAAAAGCATCCAGTAAGATGCCGGCCACCCCAGATGGAGTTTCCTAGTCCTGGGGCAGCCTCACACTCCTAGGCTTCCTTCAGCCCTGAAAGCTGCTCCGTGGTGTAGTAGTGACTGTTGGCCCTGCTGGGGGTTGGAGCAATGTGGTCACCAGGGAACACCGGGAGCCACCAGAGCTGAAAGAGCCAAGGAATGATCCTCCCCTAGAGCCTTTGGAAGGAATATGGCTCTGCCAACACTTGACTTTGGACTTCTAACCTCCAAAACTGTGAGACAATACATTTCCATTGTTTTAAGCTGCACAGTGAGTGATTTTTTTTTTTTTTTTTTTGTATCAGGGATTGAACCACTGAGCCACATCTCCAGCCCTTTTTATTTTTTATTTTGAGACTTAGGGCTTCAATAAGTTGCTGAGGCTGGCTTTGAGCCTGTGATCCTCCTGCCTCAGCCTCCCAAGCCACTGGGATTACAGGTGTGCACCACCACACCTAGTGATTTAGTGATTTTTTTACAGCAGCCAAACCCTGGTTGCTGCCCCTGGCCCCTGTGGGCAGCTGAACTTAAGGTCACTCGTGTGAATTTCCAGGGACACCAAATAAAACACAGACACACACTTTACCTTTAAACAAGCTTCAGGACGGCTCCTCTGCTCTCAGCCTCAGGCTCCCCAAATGGGAGAGCAGGAGAAAGTCAGGAGAGGCTGGCGAGAGAGAGAGAGAGAGAGAGAGAGAGAGAGAGAGAGAGAGAGAGAGAGAATTTGGAAGTGGGCTATTATTGGGGGGGACCCTTATTCTTAGAAAGTTCCATCCAAGAAAGGCCAGAGGGGCAGGGTTACAAAGAACAGGTGAGTGTAATTCGACCCAAGCGACCATGGGGCCACATGCCCTCAACTTCCTGGACAGGGCAATGTCCAGGTCACTAAGAGATGTAGTGACCAATCAAAGCCTCTCTGCTCCAGGACGGAAGGCACGAATCCTTCAGAGTGGCTTCCCACACCTGGGGGTGGGGGAAGAGCGGAACTGGTCAGAGGCTGAAACAATGAAGGAAGAGAGGTACGCAGAGGGAGGGACAGACAGACAGATGCTATGGGGAGAGCGGGCTCTCCCTTGAATGCTCAGCTCTCCTCCTCCAGGAAGCCCTCTCTGAGCCCTGAGGTGGTTCACAATGTCTTGTGCTGTCTCCATTAAAGCACAGATGTCACTAGACAGGGCCTGTGTCCCTGTGTGTCCTTCCTTCAGAACCCAGGCCTGACCCATCTCTAGTCCCCAGCATGACCGCACACAGGGCCTGTGGACAGGGTCTTCAGGACAGAAGTCAGGCATGATGGAATGAAATCGCGCTCAGTGATGTCTCTCCCCAGAGATTCTGCCCTTCTGGCTGCCGGAGAGACACCTGGATTTCCTGTAGTGCTCCCAGAGGACCTCCTGTCCTCGGGGGAGAAGTCTCCCCTGATCTCCCAGGTGCCTCTTCTGCAGGCTCCTGTGGTGCCTAGTGCTGTTGCCTCTGGGATCACACATCACACCATGTACAATGTCCCCAGGGCTCTCCCTACCTGTACACTGGCTAGTCTCAGTGCCAGTATTTCCTGGGAGACTTTAAAAGAACATTTTGAGGGAGCTGGGGGTGCAGTTCAGCGGTGGAGCCTGTGTTCAGCATGTGTGAGCCCCTGGATCCACCCCAGCACTCGGTGGGAGTGGAGGGACTGTGTTGAGCTAATGAAGAAGTGAGAGGGTCAAACAGGCAGGGGTGTGGTATTTACAGTGAGGCAAAGAAAGGACTTTTCTGCAGGGGTTAAGAGAAAAACTTCCTGGTGTGTTGGTGACATTTAACTTCTCTTTTTTCTTCTCACAACTCTGAGAATATCTTTCTGTCCCATGATCAACTGGGGCTGTATTCAATTCATCACTCCTGCTGACTCTTCCTGTCCCCATAATCTCAGCCAGGGCTCAGAACAACTCATTGCCTCCCACCTGGATCCCCACCTCCCACCCCCAGGCTCCCTCTAAGCTCTCCCCCTCCAGCCCACCCCCACACATCCCACAGGGTCTTTTACACCCAGAGTTGACTCTGCCTCTACGGTGGCTCCCCATCACCCTCAGACAAAGCCCCCGCCCCTCAGTTTTTCCTGATCAAATCCTTCCCCAGGAAATAGAGGCCAGGCTTTCCTCCTGGTCTTAGAGACCCCGCATGTCCTGGCCACCCCCACGTCCCAGCCCCATCTCTCTTTTACCATGTCAGGCCCTCTGGCCGTTGGACCTTTTCACAAACTGTTTCCTCTATCCGGGTCTCTGACCCCGCTTCTCTGCAGGGCAAACTTCTCTACCCTTCAGGAGTCCCTCCCCAGGAGGCCATCTGGCAATGCCATGAGATGGCCAGGGGCCTCCTCTAAGCTCTGGAAGCCACCTGTGTTACCTCCATTATAGTGAATAGACAATCCGGGCTCAGTGCCCAGAGCGGAGGAACGGCCAGGCCGGAGGTGGTCCCAGATGTGCATTTCACGCCTATTCGTCTCGGGTGCTGGGAACAAAGTTTGGGTCATAAGGAACATATGGGGCTCTGCCTGCTCTACACTTTCATCCCCTACCTCCTGGGCTCCTGGGTGGGAGGTGGCAGGGCCAGGACTCTCCAGGCCTGGTGGTTCCCACAGCCCCTCTGGACCTCCTCAGCCCTCTCTCCCTGCCCTCACCTCCCACTGCCTCTGGGAGCCCAGCAAAATCCTCTCCATCTGGGGATCCTCTCCTTTCCCCGGGGAAGGTGGGGCTCTGCATGTTTACACAAAAGCAACAAAGGCACATTCAGAAGGCTCTGACTCCGTGCTTACTGCTGTCCTAACCCCAGCCTATGGATTGACTCACTTCATCCTCTGAATGCGCCCTATTATTATGATCCCCCCCATTTAACAGAGGAGAGCATTGAGGGACTGGGAGTAGCAGTGCTGGGATTTGGACCCGGGCCATCTGGTTCCAAACACACAGCTCTGTCCAGCAGGACTTCCTGTGAGGGTAGAAATGGTCTGCACCGGGGCGGTCAGGATGCAGCCACTTGAAACGCATCTAATGCGACTGAGAAACTGAATTTGTACTTTTACTCCATTTCGATTAATTTATACTCAGTGTGGCTGCTGGCTACTGCCTGGGACGGTACAGCTCTTGATGGCTCCGTAGGGTGTGACCACTGTTGAATCTTCTCACCTGTCTGAGCTTCAGTTTTTCTGTCTCGAAGAGGTAGTTAGGGTTCTAGCTAAATCCAAGCACACCTGGGTTTGAATTCCACCCACACACACCTCAATGTGGAGCCCCCCAGGAGCCTCAGTTTCTTCATTTGTATCCTGAGGATAACAGGCCCTAATTATTCCACAAATATTTATTAAGTACCTATTATGTCCCAGGGGCTGAAGTTACAGCAGCAAACAAAACAGACACAGATCTGAGGTCAGGGATCAGGAGGTGGGATGGAAAGCCATGGCCAGACATTACCTCCCTTCAATCTTAGCCACTTTTCCAAGATATGCTAATGGCTTCTCTGCCGGCATCTCATGATGTCATAGCACACTCTGGCTTCTGATTGGTCAAAGGTCTGGTATTAGTGCAGGGACATAGAATTATTCTAAATATCTTTTCCCTTGATACAAAAACACCCTATGCAGCTGAGTCCAGCATTAAAGGCTATATCCCACCCTTCCTTCATCCGGCTGCCTGGATATATATGCAATAGCTGGAGCACTAGTTTCCATCTGGACCAGGGGGATTAGGACTGTTCTAAGGACGATGAGAAGGAAAACTGGAAGAGTCCTGGTTCCTGGACTATCTCCAGATTTCTATTATTCAAGAGGGAAACAGGACTGGGGATCTAGCTCAGTGGTGGAGCACTTACTTTGCATGTGGGAGGCCCTGGGTTCAACACCCGGTACTAAAGAGAAAGAAATAAACTTCATTTTATTTGAATCACTGTTATTTAGGGATTATTAGGAACACTAATGATACAGACAATATGAAGAACCATGTCAGATTTGGTTGGGTTACAGATTAGACCATTCATTGATTTATCCATTCAACAAATATTTATTGCGCACCTATTATGTTAGCTAATTTTCTAGGTACAGAGATACATCCATGACCAAATTAGAATCCCTGTTCCCATGGTGCCCATGTTACAGTGGAACAATGACAACACAAATAGTAAACAGATAAATATATTTCGGCTTACATGGCAGAAGGTACTTTGCAGATGTGATTAAAGTTAAGACACTTGAGATGGAAGAGATTATTCTGGATTATCTGGATGTGTCTTTTCTAACTACTTGGGTCCTTAAAAGCAGAGAATCTTTCCTACTTGTGGTCAAAAAAAAAAAAAGACATGAGACAGGAAGAAGAGGTAGAAGAAATTTGAAGTGTGAAAAGAACTCAACTCTTCATGCTGGCTTTGAAGATGGAAGAAGGGGCTACAAGCCAAGGAATGTGGGTGGCTCTAGAAGCTGGGAATGGAAAGGCAGCAGCTTCCCACCAGAAGATCCAGAATGCAGGGTTTTGGGGGTTTTCTTAAGCATTTCTTAATTTATTGTTTTAGTTATACATGACAGTAAGGTATATTTTGACATATCATGTATATGTGGAGTATAACTTCCCATTCTTGTGGTTGTACATGATGTGGAGTTACCCTGGTCGTGAATTCATATATGAACATAGGAAAGTGATGTCCAGTTCATTCTGCTGTTTTTCCCATCCCCCCCCATTCAATCTAGTGAACCTCCACTCCTCCCTTCTACTGAGTCAGCATCCACATATCAGAGAGAACACCTAGCCTTTGTCTTTCTGGGGATTGCTTATTTCACTAACACAATAGTTTCCAGTTCCATCCATTTACTGACAAATGCCATAATTTCATTTTTCTTGTATGGCTGAGTAATATTCCATTGTGTATATATACCACATTTTCTTTGTACATTCATCTGTTGAAGGGCACCTAGATTTGTTCCATAGCCTCTCTATTGTGCATTGAGCTGCTATGACTATCTATGTGGCCGCATCACTATAGTACGCGGAATTTTAAGTCCTTTGGGTATACCAGGGAGTGGGAAACTGGGTTATATAGTGGTTCTATTTCAAGTTTTCTGAGGAGTCTCCAAACTGCTTTATAGAGTGATTGCATCAATTTGCAACCCCACCAGCAATGTATGAAGGCACCTTTCCCCCCACATCCTTGCCAACATTTATCGTTACTTGTATTTTTTTCTTTGGTGGGGGGGCAGGGGATTGAACCCAGGGCCTTGTGCATGCGAGGCAAGTACTCTACCAACTAAGTTAAATCCCCAGCTTTGTTACTTGTATTCTTGATAATTGTCATTCTGACTGGAGTGAGATGGAATCTCAATGTAGTTTTAATTTTCATTTCTATAATTGCTAGTGATGTTGAACATTTTTTCATATATTTGTTGACTACAGAATGCAGCCTTGACAATGCCTTGATTTTAGCCCAGTGAAACCCGCGTGGGACTTCAAATTGGTAGGACTGTTAGATGAAGAAATTTGTGTTGTTTCAGCTGTTCAATTTGTAATTTGTATGACAGCAATAAAAAATAAGCCCACCACTTGTCCCTTTCTGGGCACATAAGAGAAGTTCACTTCCCACCTTCAGGCAATTGAGGGACTCACGCAAGTAATCTTTTTCTCTGGGCTGCGAGTGGAAGACTGGAAAATGTTCCCAGGCCAAAGCACTTACTGCTCCTGTGGGACAATTCAGTGCTTCCTCTGGTTGCCACATGATGCGGGGGGAGGGGTGTACCACGGGATGCAACTGATGACACACCATGGTGCATGACTCTCATCTGGGTCCCTGAGTGACTGAAAAACCACCCCTTGCCAACGGACATTGGACAAGTACATGAGCAAGAAATAAACTTTCATATGCGAAGCCGTCAGGTAACCTGATTAATGGAAGACTGTGGAAGTAGCTTGCGGTTACTGAGGAAGTGTGTCTCAGGAAGAGAGAAAAGTGCACAGGCCCCGGGGCAGAGTGTGTTTGGTTTCTACAGGAACAGGAAGGGGGACAGTGTGGCTGCAGTGGCCTGAATGAGGAAGAGTTGGAGGAGGTGAAGTCAGTGACACGGCAGGGGTAGATCGTATAGGGCCTTATAAGGCAGGCAAGGACTTTGGATTTGATTGTTGGGCATAGGAGTGATACGATCTGACTGCTATGCAGAGAGATTCTTCTGGATTCGCCTTTTAAAGTGGTCATTCTGCTTCTGCATGAAGAAGACTCTAAGGGGTAGCTGTGAGGGAGCAGTGATGTTGGCTTGAACCAAGGTGGTAGCAATGGAGGTGGTAAAAATGGTTGAATTCTGGACATGAATCTTCAAGGAGCGGGTGGGACTTGCTGGTGGGTTTGGAACTGAACATGGAATGGTGGGTGAATTCCCAATTGAATTGGCTTCAAAAGACAATGAAAAGGGCAAACAGAAGAGATTTATACAGTTTTCCTGAAACTTTTCTTATAATATCTCCCTAAGACTTCAGCTTCAGAGATACCCCCATCCTGGGTCTAACTGGAAGCCAAAGGTGAGGTCCCCCACAAAGGGGATTTTCACTGGTGGCTTGGAACTCAAAAAATAGTTATCCCCTGGAGGCTATTTCCTATTTCTTCTAGCATCACCAGGAGCAAATCCAGGTTCCCTGGAGGACTAGCAGCCTAGCACCGTGTGACATGACCTGTCCTACTTCCCATTTGCTGAGAGCCTCATTTTTGTCTCATGGAAGGAAAATGTTATTTTCCAGGTTCAAATCCCTAAGACTCCCTCCAAGTACCTCCTCAGTGACTCTGCAGAAAAGGTCATTCAGATTTGAAGACGCCTGCTTGTGAGTGCAGGGATTAGGTCTGAGTGTCAGGGAAGGTGCTAGGCCATGACAACCTTCCATCCCTTAGTACTTTGCTTCCTGACTTTTTGGCCCCACCCCTGTGGCCTGTAGGTGCCCCACTATTGGGCAGGGATAAAATTCTGCTTAGCACCAAGTGATGTCGAATTACTCTGCAGCTCTCCATTGGCCGCCTCTCAGGAAAGGGTCCAGGCTGCACTTGAAGCCCATGAACCCATCAGAACCTTCTTCAGACATTCACTCAAAGTCCCCTTATTCCTTCCTCAGAGACTATCCAGAGGTCCCTCAGAAATGAAAAATTACTAAATCTGGAACTTTCTGGAAATTGGGAACCATGGTCCCTTTTAAGGAAGTTAAATTTCCCGCCTTTTCCAGACACGCCCTTCTTTGGGCCTGTCCTTAAGCACCCAGTGACGCCACAGGAGTTCTTTCACTGGATTGGCCACTTTGTCTCAGGGAGCCCGGGGATAACTTCAGCTGGGCAGATTCCTCAAGACCGTCTTCATTTGCCCCTAGAGACTCTCCCAGTACAGATCTGGGCTCTGAGGACGAAATTCCTCAAGATTTGAGACTTTATTGTGGGTGATTAACTGCTTGTGTCACAAGTCAAACGAAGAGCCACGGGACCAAAATCCCGCTCAGGCACCTTCCGGTGAAAGTCTCTTGCGCCTGCGCGTTGCTGGCGCGTGCCGGTGACGTAAGGCGCTCCGTGGCTTCTGATTGGTTCTCTCAGGACGCGCGCGGCTGAGGAAGGCTGCGTGTCAGGTTCCGCATTGCTGGGCGTCGACGCCTCGCGCGCCCTGGTTAGTGTTAAGGCGTAGGGTTGGGTGAGGGAGGCTCCAGGCCGCGGCAGCCCCCAGCACGCTCCTCCTGCTGTAGCCGCCTCAGCGGCCGGGCCCAGCGCGGCCTCCAGGGCAGTGCGAGGCCGTAGCGATCTAGGACGAGGCGCCCGGGGTCCGGGTTTCCAGCCGCGCTGCCCAGCAGCAGGTAGTCAGCGCCGGGCTGTAGGCGCAGGCAGCCGCAGGCCAGGTCGGCGCCGGGCACCCAGGCGTCCTGGCCGCCCCGTTGCACAGGCCGCGCCCGCTGCTTGTACACGGCCAGCACCCGCACGGCCAGCCGTCGCCATTCAGGGCCGGCCATCTCCAACGCCAGCACCTGAGCGCGCAGAACTGCGGGGAGGGAGGTGTCAGGCGTGGGTGGTGCAGCGGGATCAGCCTGATAGGGTGGGCCCCGGGCGGGGGTGGCCTTCCTGGATCGTGGGAGAGAGACCTTGACCCTTTAAAAGTGAGAGGACTGGAAGTGGCCCTGAGTAGTGAGGGTCAGGCCTGCCCCAGGAGATACAGTCCAGGAGCGGGGGAGAGATCAGAAGGGAGCGGGTTAGGGTTTACAAGGTGGATTCCAAGATTAAGGTTGGGAAGGGCGAGGCTGTGTGCTGCCCAACAAAGGGGAGGCCAGATAGGGAAAGGATTCCTGGCTGGGAGCCTGGGGTGTGTTGGGTCAGGCTTTGGGGGTCATATTAGAGGCAGCAGATCTAGGACTTATATTGAAGGGAGAGTGGATGGGGACACCTACAGTAGGTGGGGCTCGGGACAAAGCAGCAGTTCCAGGGTATTTAATGCAGTAGGATTAGAAGATATCAGGAGAGAAGCCCTTGTGCAAGAGGGGTGTTGCCAGGGAAAGGACTCTGGGATGAATTTGAGTAGATAAAAGGGTGAAGTTAGTCCCTGAAATCTGAGGGTTGAGATCACATTAGTTGTAATTTGGGCAAGTATGAGGTCGGACAGTGCTGAGGGCTGGGTCTGTGGGGCAGGAGATCCCTGTAAGAGGGGAGGAAAAGGCCCAGGTGAACCCATCAGAGCCTTCTTCAGGCCTAGGACACTAGTGGCCAGAGCATGATCTTGAGGGTGGAGAAATCCTGGATCCTCTATACCGGGGGAGATAGAAGGGGTTGTTCTGGATTTGTGGGCTGAGCTGAACTCCTGCGTGTCTGTAAGCTGTTACCTGAGGTCATCAGCCCCAGGGTCTTGGGACTAGTGTGGGCTAATAAATTAGTGAACCAAGAGGTGGGCTTTTGTGGGGACCCAGCAAAAGCTTAGCTATCTGGGACCCTGAAGAGAAAGGGAAGGGGTCTGAGATAGGCAGAACAGAGCAGGGGCCCTTTCACTCAACCAGTTCCTCTTGCCTTCTACCCCTCAGAGATGTCAGGCTGATGAGGCGGGTGAAACTCTGCAAGCCCAAGTACCCAGGAGAAGAGGAGACACAAGAAGGTAGTGAAGACCCTTCCTCACTGTTCCTCCCCCCATTCATGTCCCATCAGATCCTGGATTGGGAAGGGCCTTAGAATTCAGTGCCTCTTCCATTTAAGATGAGGAAATTGAAGGCCAGAGAGGGTGCTGCCTGAAGGCAGTTGTCAGGTCATCTGGACAGCCATGGCCCCCTTTCCCCCCAGCACTCACCATAGTCCTGCTGGCAGTACCTCTGAAGGCTCATGTGTACTCTGGTATCCGAAATATTGCAGTAGTTTTGACACTGAGGGTCTGGGGAGGGTCAGGCTTCTGAGGCCTGGGCCACAACCTTCTGCACCACCCATCCTCAGTCCATCTTGATTGACAGCTGGCGTGCCCACACCCCTGGTGACTCTGGGTCCCAATCAGTCCATCCCTTACCCCTCTTACTGCCTGGGGATCTCTGTGCCAGCCTGCCTTACCAGAGCTGGAAGCACCAGGTGTAGTAGCAAAGATGGTTGTTGCTTCTGGAATTCCTGGGAGACCAAAGGAGAAATTTAATTTAACCTCTTAGCCACGCTCCCCAAGGATTCCAAGCATCTCTTGCTCTCTTCTCCCAGGACCTAGGAGTCTGGACCCCTACCCCTTCTTCCTTTAGGACCAGAAGTTCAGGGCCCTAACCCCTTCTCCCTAAGACTAAAGAATCTGGAATTTCAGGACTGTATCCCTAAGGCTCAGAGTTTAGTCTCCAGCCCCTGGTTCCCATTTCCTAAGGTCACTTGTCCCTCCACATTCATCCACTGAGATCTGGACTGTCTCCTCCCCTCCCCATTCAGGACTTGTGGCCCTGCCCCTCAGGACTCACGCTGGCAGGGCATCCGAGGGGAGCGGCTCTGCTGGTAGCCAGGACCACAGCGACTGCACGTCAGGCCTGTGACCCCTAACTTGCAGGAGCACTGCCCACTGGTCTGGTTGCAGGTGCCTCCTGTTGCCCCAATGGGGTGGCACTGGCAGGCTACATGTGGAAAGGAACTGGGGACATGGGGTACCTGGGACGCAGATGCTCCTTACCAAATCTGCATGCCCCTCCTCCCCAAGACCCAGGAGTCCAGGTCCCAGCCCTTCCTCCCTCAGACCCAGGAGTCCAGGCCCTGCATCCTTGCCCTCTGGGCCTGGCCACACTCACCCCTGCAGGCCTTTCGGCTGGTGATAGGCTGGCTGGGATCCCTCCAGAACCCTGGCTGGCAGTAGTGGCAGTGTCGCCCAGCTGTGTGGTGGCGGCACCGTTCACATACACCCCCACTCCGGCCACCAGACAGCCTGAACAGCTCAGAGTTGAACCGGCAGCGGCGAGCATGCTGGTTGCAGGAGCAGGCTAGAGCGAGTGGGGGAGGGCACATGAGGGCCAGGCTCTCTGTTTCCAGCCCTCTCCCCACTGCCCTGCCCTCAGGAAAGGAAAAAAGTGAGGGTATGATGTAAAAGACGTAGCCTGGAGCTTCTGGGTGAGCCTGGGTCCCAGAGCATCTTCATTCTCATTCTGAAATGGGATATTGGTCCAGAAGTGGGTGAGCAGGAGGGGACCTGGGGACTTCTCAAGTGGCACTGTGAAACTGTGGTGCTAAAAGAGGAAGGGCAGCTCTGGGTGGGCAGTGAGCTCAGATGCTGTCTGCCTCTGATTGTGTTCCAGAGCTTGGTTTCCTCGGCTGCAGAATGGCATTTGTAGTGTTTATTTCATGAGGCTTACATGAGATAAAGCAGATAGAAAGTGCTTAACTCGGGGCTGGCGCAGAGCAAGTACTTGCTGATGAGTGCTTCCGCATGTCAGATGCCAGGTGCTAAGTGATAGATGTATTTTATCCCCAAAGGGCTGTGAAGCTACCACTATCATCATCCCCAATTTGCAGATAGGAAAACAGACACAGAAAGGTGAAGTCACTGCCCCAAGGTAGCACAGCTGGGTGGTAGTCAGAGGCAGGATTTGAACCCAGGCATCCTGGCTTCAGAGGCTGTGTTCTTAGCAACCACACTTGGGTGCTTCCATGTGGCTCATCTGAGGACAGTCTGTTTTGCTGGTGGCATTTATCAGGTTTTTGAAGGCAGTAGCCCTTAAGCCTTACTTCTTTAGGAATTACCAGGGCCCCATTTTAAGAAAACAATATAAATCCAGGGCCCACTCTCTGGACAGCTGCTGGGCTAAAGATCTGTATTTCTGGTGAGTGCCCAGAGTGTGCTGTTGAGGCAGGAGGTGCCTAGACCATCCTTGAAGTTACCTGGGTTTAAGGGGGTTGAGAGGCCTGCTCTGTCAGGTGCCTGGGAGTTCAGGAGCTGTGGTGCAGAGCTGGCTGTGTGTTCTCTGAGAAACGACTTGCTCTGAGCCTTGGTTTGCTCCCTGTCTAGTGGGGATCTCCACCTCTGTCTCCCAGGGTTTGGGTGTACATGAGAGGTGTCAGTGCCACTCAGATTATCTGATTTGAGGGGAATCACTTCACCTTGCACCCTGCCACCCAGGAAACTCAGACCTGGGGAGTGGGAGTCTGCATGCCATCCATGTCTGTAAAGCTGCTGCTCAGCCCCAGGAGTTAGCCTCACCTGTCCACCCACCCCACACCACAGCACTGTCAATCTCTCACCCAAGTTTGGAGGGCAGTGCCCTACCCAGCCTGAGTGGCCATTCGGAGGGACAACCTCCCAGCTCCCAGGCCCAGAATGAAGCCTGTTCCACCCTTAGGACATGTGAATCTCCCTTGCTCACTTCCCTGAGGGGGGCTGATGGAGCAGGTCAGACTTGGCTGCTCCAGAGGCCTGGTGGGGCTGCCAGATGGAGGCCCTAGTGCAGTGGGGAGCAGAGAACTGGAACGTGGTGGCCTCCTGGCCCCAGGGAATTCGCTAGTAGGGGCAGAAGAGGGTTGGGAGCTGAGGCCACTAGGATGATCTGCTGGTACAGTATGTCCCACGCATGGGGGTAGGGGACTGGGCTCTACCCAGGGTCACAGTGGGGTGGGAAGGAGCTGACCAGGTCTCTGAGGAGGGGCCTTGACCTTAGAAGCTGCAACCTGGGAGCACCTGAAGGGAATGGGCATCAAGGAGAAGCTGGGGGTAATTATCGGCTGGTGGCCCAGTGTGTGGTAGCTTCTAGGAAGGTGTGACTCCCTGTGAAGGGTCTCAGCCCTGCTCCTTGCTGGCACTCAGACCTGAAGTCAAGTGACCTGTCTGTCCCCTTGGGGCTCTCCTTCCTTTGCCGGGGAATGGTAACATGGCAGGTGCTCAGGAAGCTTTCCTTCTGCCAGGTGTGGCCTGGACTCTGCTCTGGAGGCTTTTGTGTGTCAGTTCACTGGATTTCCACTTCCACCTTAAGGAAGCACTGTTACTATTCCCACTTTTCAGGGGAGGGAACGAAGTGAGACAGAGATGTTAAGTCACTTGCCCGAGGTCACCCAGCTGGTAAGCAGAGGAGCTGGGTTTCACATCCAGGCAATCTGGGCTGCCGAGACTGGGCTTCTGTCTGCCACCCTAGAGCACTCAGGTGACAGCACCCAGTGGGAGTTTGGCAAGCGGGAGCTGAGGCCCTGGACTTCCTGAGCTCAGGTCCTGGTTCTGCCACTCATGGTAGCTGTGTGTCTTTGTGCAAAGGACTCCCAACCGCCAGCCTCAGCCTGCTCATCTAGAAATGGGCTTGATGCCGCGCCGAGCTGGCACGTGTTTCGTGATTGTTGTGAGGTTGGCTGGAGTCAAGAAATGTCCCGCTGCCCAGTCTGCTACCTGAGCACCTGCACCCAGCCAGGGACGGATGAGAGCATCCTGTGCCCTTGGGGACACAGGACCAACAAGTTGCGAGGGGGCCCCAGGACTCACGCAGGCAGGGGTGGGGGTGCCGGGGCGTGGCAGGCCTCCAGGGCCAGTCTCGGTGGGATGGGCGGCAGCTCTCGCACCCTGGGCCGGTGGTGTGGTGGCGGCAGCGGCAGCGTGGAGGCCGGGCACGGGCAGCACAGCGGGCCGCATGGCCATGGCACTGGCAGCGGCCTCTCACGCCAGCTGCTGCCAGCCCTGCTCGGCCTCCAAACTCCACACGGAGGTGGCTGGCCACCACCCTGGCCTTAGGGCCTGGTGGGGAGCGAAAGATGACCCTCTCAGGACCCCCCAAAGCCCCAGGCCAGGCAGGTCTGCGCCACAGAGGCCTCCAGGGACCCCCTGCAGCCCAGGCCGCAGACAGAACTAGGGCTGGGGGTCCTGGGGTGCAGAAGCGCAGGCTGACAGACGTCAGGAGGAAGGGGCCATCCAAGTCCAGGGTCAGACTGCCATTGCAGGTGGCCCCAGGGCCAGGACTAGTCCCTGGGGAAAGGGTACAGGACTGGGGGCAGGAGGCTGCTATGCCACCTGCCAGCTGGGTCACTGGTGGAAGGCAGAAGCGAGGGCGTCCCCCTGGATCATAGCATGGGTCCGAGGTTGCCCGGCTTAGGAGGAACAAGAGGGCAAAGGTCACAGGCATGATCCCAGTAGAGCCAGCACCTAGGAGGAGAGGTGGCTGGGTGGGACCTCAGCCATCAGCCTCCACCCTGCTCCCCAAGGTGCCCTGGGGAACCCCAGCATTCCACCCCAGCCCTACCCAAATCCCCTCCCCAACTGCTTTGAAGCGAGGAAAATAGTTCCATCTGGGGAGAGTCACTGTTTACATAACCCAGAGGGGAAAGAACGCAAGCAAAATCGAGAATTTTGCCTGAACTAATCCGTAGCTTAACACCCCAGAGTTATCCGTCAGTGTCGAGAGAGCAGGGCCTCTGGGGAGTGGGTGAGGGGTGGACCAGCAGAGGCCACAGATGCGGAAACCCAGAGAGGGACTAAGGAGAGACACAGGGGAACAGGGCTGGGGAAAGCAGAGAGAGAGAGACGAGGACTCAGAGACAAAGAAACAGAGAAAAGACAGAAGCAGAGACAGAGGTGGGTAGAGAGACCCACGGGAAGGTCCAGACGCGGGAGGCAGAGATAGGACAGGGCTGGGCACCCAGAGTTCACAGGAAAGTGGGAGATCCTGGGGGCCAAAGGGG